GGCTATCCCATTGGAATGGTGCCAAAGTGGGGGCTGCTATGGCATCTGCTCTCTCTGAACAGCTGCGAAGCGCTTAGACATCAAGCCTCCTGAACTCCAACGTGGACCCATGTGAAGCCTAAAGACTAGCAGACTAGCACAAACTATCGCTAAATTGCTAAATCCAACGCACCTGCTGCCTTCGAAAGCAATTTGCGGATGGGCTGTTGCTCAAGTGCATCGGCCCATCGGCGACCTGTCCAAACTTCTTCGCACGGAGGTGGCTCTGAAGTGTCCCAGCTTGCCCTGTGCGCCACCGATGCTGACGCTGAGGGAGATTGTGAAGTTTACTCAGGTTTACTCATTGGATGACCATCCCAAGGAATACAATTACAAACAATAAAAGCAGCAAGCGGCCCTTCCAACATGTTCCAACATCTTGATACACCACATCACATCATCAGCATCATCATCACCATCATCATCACCGTCATCATCCTCATCTTCATCGTCATTCTGACCGCCGTCATCATCATCATCGACATCATCATCCTCATCCTCATCCTCATCCTCATCGTCATCATCATCACCATCATCATCATCATCCCCATCCTCATCGTCATCATCATCATCGTCATCATCATCCTCATTGTCATCGTCATCATCATCATCATCATCATCAACATCATCATCATTAGAAGAAACTTAGGCAGGCAAAGGTTGAAAAAATCAAAATATTTATTTTGTCGTTTTTTGGTCATTTTTTTTGTCATTTCAGTTTTGTCTGTCATTTTTTTGTCATTTTTTTGTCGTTTTTTTGGTCATTTCAGTTTTGTCTGTCATTTTTTTTGTCATTATTTTGTCGTTTTTTTGTCATTTCAGTTTTGTCTGTCATTTTTTTCTCAAACTCCTGGAGCCCAAACTTTTCCCCATTTTTTCCATCCTCGTCCTCATCATTCTCATCGTCGTCGTCATTCTCATCCTCATCATCCTCATCCGCAAAGTAATCCTCAGCGTCATCATCATCATTATCATCATCGTCATCATCAACCTCATTGTCGTCATCATCATCATCAAAAACATCAACATCACAATCCTAGTCCTCATGTTCATCGTCATCATCATCATCATCCTCATCCTCCTCCTCATCCTCATCCTCATCCTCATCCTCATCGTCATCGTCATCCTCATCGTCATCATCATCATCAACATCCTCATCCTCACCGTCATCATCCTCATCCTCATCCTCATCCTCATCGTCATCATCCTCATTCTCATCCTCATCCTCACCGTCATCATCCTCATCCTCATCGTCATCATCATCCTCATCGTCATCCTCATCATCATCATCATCGTCATCATCATCATCCTCATCCTCATCGTCATCATCCTCATCCTCATCCGCACCGTCATGATCCTCACTTCATTCTCATCCTGATTCTCATCCTCATCCTCATCATCCTCATCATCATCGTCATCATCATCATCAACATCCTCATCCTCACCGTCATCATCCTCATCCTCATCCTCATCCTCATCGTCATCGTCCTCATCCTCATCCTCATCCTCATCCGCATCGTCATCATCCTCATCCTCATCCTCATCCGCAGCATCATCATCCTCATCCTCATCCTCATCGTCATCATTCTCATCGTCATCGCCATGCTCATCCGCATCGTAATCATCCTCATCATCATCAACGTCATCATCCTCATCCTCATCGTCATCCTCATTGTCATCATCATCCTCATCCTAATCCTCATCTTCATCATCATCATCATCATCATCCTCATCATCATCCTCCTCATCCTGATCGTCATCCTCATCCTCATCCGCATCGTCATCGTCATCATCCTCATCCTCATCCTCATCCTCATCCTCCTCCCCCTCATCATCATCATCATCATCATCATCATCATCATCATCCTCATCCTCATCATCCTCATCGTCATCCTCATCGTCATCATCATCCTCATCCTAATCCTCATCTTCATCATGATCATCATCCTCATCATCCTCCTCATCCTCATCATCCTCATCCTCATCATCATCATCATCATCATCCTCATCGTCATCGTCATCATCATCATCATCATAATCATCCTCATCGTCATCGCAATCGGCGTCGTCATCATCCTCATCCTCATCGTCACCGCATCGTCATCATCCTCGTCCTCATCCTCATCCGCATCGCCATCATCATCATCATCATCATCATCATCATCACCCTCATCGTCATCCTCATCGTCATCATCCTCATCCTCATCCCCATCCTCATCCCCATCGTCATCCTCATCCCCATCATCACCATCATCATCATCATCATCACCATCATCATCATCATCATCCTCCTCATCGTCATCCTCATCCTCATCATTTTCATCGTCGTCGTAATCCTCAGCCTCATCATCCTCATCCGCATCCTCATTGACATCTTCATCATTCTCATCGTCATCGCCATGCTCATCCTCCTCATCCTCATCCTCATCGTCATCATGCTCATCCTCATCCTCATCCTCATCCCCATCCTCATCCGCATCGTCATCATCCTCATCCTCATCATCCTCATCCTCACCCTCATCGTCATCATCCTCATCCTCACCCTCATCGTCGTCATTCTCATCCTCATCATCCTCATCCCCATCGTCATCCTCATCGTCATCCTCATCGTCATCATCCTCATCCTCATCCCCATCGTCATCCTCATCCTCATCCTCATCCGCATCGTCATCATCCTCATCCTCATCGTCATCCTCATCCTCATCATCCTCATCCTCATCATCCTCATCCTCATCCGCATCCTCATCGTCATCATCCCCATCCTCATCATCCTCATCCTCATCCTCATCCTCATCATTTTGAACAGCAGCGATACAGTCAACGCAAAGGAATCAAAACAAGACCCGATACGTCTTGCCTGCGATCATGGGGCCATCGCCGAACAGTCGTGGAAGCTGTATTCCAAGACTACCTGAAAAATATCTATGACCTTTGGGGGTAGTGGATTGTTCTCCCGTTGGAAACAAAACTCCTCCGTTGGAAACAAAAGTGCTTGAGTAGCCACCTCAAATCATGGTTTGGACCTAGAAGTAATTTCACGACATTTGCTCACCATGTCATCACACTGAAAGACAAGAGAATTGAACATAACAATCCACCACAAACAGGAAGGAGCGGTGTGATGTCATACAGCTAATGGCTGCACAGCAGAGATTCCAGCCACTTGCGAAGCTCAATCCTGATCCCAAACTGAAATAGAGAGAAACCCCATACAAATGTTCATCATTTTAGGTTCTGGTTTTGGCATTGAATTCATAAAACATAATTAAACCATCGAAAGCCACACCCAATTTCAATCCACACCCTGTGGACCCAACGGCGTTGGACGGCACATCTTTGATACTTCAATTTCGGGCCAAAGGTGCCTTTGGAGAGCATCCTGTGAAATTTTCACAGGACTCCAAAGGCACCTTTGGCCCGAAATTGAAATATGTCGAAATCACCATACCAAACCTGCAAAAACGGGAGGCGAAGCAGGTGACTGGAGATGTTTTACCACAAACTTCATGTTGCCAGACACTCGCAGACATGTCTAGCATGTCTTGCACCGAAACAATTTACAAAGGTGTATAGCTACATGGATAGGGTTCTGCATTGGAGAGATCTTGCTGCCAAGGACAACTGATTAATGTTTAAAGATACCCACCATGTTGTTATAAGCCCAACAATCAAAGCTTTGGTGTTTGCTATGTTCATCAAGTTTCGCAGGTTTGCTAATTAACAATGAAACAAAGCTCCTCACAGGCTAGCCTTAGCCATGTTTATCATTCCCCTGAACGTTTTGATGATCGCCCCAGTTCTTTATTAACTGTCATTACCAGCAAAAACTGACTGGCACATGAGACACCAAATGAGTTATTCCCGGTGCCAGGCCTTAGATTTCATGCCTTGGGCGGAGCAAATGTGCAAACAACATCTGGGGTTCAAAATTGTTCAACCCAAAAAATCGATATGGACAGAAGAAACATCTTAGCAAACAAATGCCTACTCCTGTGCGTGCCCATCGGTGACTTTTAGGCCATGTAGTGCTGAAGATAGTCAAGCGCAAAAAAAACATACTTGTTCTATCCACGAATAATCTGATAATCTGATTTGTTCTCGGCGAATCGATTCTGCAGATTCAATCAAATTCGTGGTTCACCTGTGCTCAATTGTTGGCCGGTGGCTTGTGATGATTTGGCAATGGGTTAGGCTTCGTTATTCATGTCCAAAACCGGATGCGTAAACATCCCTGGAACCGACTCACACTATCCTTGCGCCTTTCATGTTTTCATTCCCACCAGTGCCAGCAGTTTCACCATGTTTCATACATGGATATTCCCACCTACTATGCCATTGGCCACTGCATTGAGCCTCACCCGTGCAGCCAAGAGGCTTTCCCATCAGCAGGTTCGCCATTTCTACCTTGAAGTTTTGTCTCGCGAGATCCAAGGGAACCACGGCTGACATTTGAACTGACCCTTTCCAATATCACTTCGACTGATCGCCGTACGGACTGCAGAATTTGACGTGGTGAAACAATGTGCGGAAAGCGCTGTTTCATTCTTCTCATTGGCTCACACGGATGTCAAAGACATGGTTGAACCCTAAACCCTAAATCACGGCTCTTTCAATTTACATCGAACTTTGAAGACAGGAACGTGAGATGAGAAATCCAGGGAAATCCCATGCCCATTGAAGTTGAAACTAGACGACGGATTGCCCGAGAGCGTAGAGAAACAGGGTCTTCTGTTGTTAGTATTGAGACACTATATTACAAGACAATATATCAAAGATATACTATAGGCAGACGAGACATGTAGTATCAAGACAATACATTACAAGTACAAGACACTAGTTTGCATCGTATCCTTCGTATTGTTTTTCACGCACAGAACCTTTTACACACAGACGCTTTTGCACACAGAAACTTTTACACACAGAAGGTTTTACACACAGACACTAGACACTTTTACACACAG